ACGAACCTTCAAACATCACGTACATTCCAACAGTAGATATTAACCCGCACTGGAGAACTGAAAGGACTGAAACGTCTCCGGTTATGTATGTAACCTTAGTTCCCTGAGGGGAATGAGACGCTGCGTGAAAACGCTATGGGAACGCTCTGCGTGAGTGCATCATAAAGCACATGTGTAATCAGTCCAATGGCGTGACGGAACGTCACAGACAGGTGACGTCACGACCAGGAAATCATATAAGCACCCCTAATTACCGGCACCTTCAGTTTCTGACGGGCTGAAGCAAGTGCCAAGGGCATGCTGGGAGTATGGCACAAACACGCAGCGTCTCGTTCCCCTCAGGAGACTAAGGTTACATATGTAACCGGAGACGTTCCCTATCAGGGAACTTCGAGCTGCGTGAAAACGCTATGGGAACGCCACTACCCACTTCACCATACGAGCAAGTGTCCGCCATGTGAAGTCAGAGCGCACATTTGGACGAAAGCACCTGCGCTCCTGGCGTGGAGCTAAAGTCAAGCTGGTAAAATCTCACGAACGTGTGCGGTGAGGACCAGCCTGCCGAAACACAGACGTCATGTAGAGGAACCTTGCCTGACAAAAGGGCTTTTGAAGCCGCCATACTCTTGGTCGAGTGGGCTCGAACAGCCAAAGGTGAATGCTGACCAGCCGACTCGTAAGCAAGTGAGATGGCCTCAACCACCCACTTGCTCATCCTCTGCTTAGACACAGGACCCCCTCTCTTGGGTGGTCCAAAGCACACAAACAATTGTTCGGACAGCCTCCACAGGGCAGTTCTGTGGACGTAGGCGTCTAAGGCCCTCAACGGGCAGAGGAGGTTATGCTTCTTCTGGTCCGACGTCAGAAAAGGAGGACAAAAGGCTTGCAGCACAATAGGCCCAACGATATTTGTTGGGACTTTGGGGACATAACCGGGTGTAGGTAGTAGAAACGCCTTGACCATCCCGGGTGAGAATTCCAAGCAAGAGGGCGCCACCGACAGAGCTTGCATATCACCAATCCTCTTCAGAGAAGAGATGGCAAGTAAGAAGATCGTCTTGAGAGTTACAAACTTATCAGGGACCTCCTCAATGGGCTGAGGCCTTCTAGCACAATGGCCAGGTCCCAGGATGGCACCCTCATGCCGGCTGCTGGCCTCAGCCTCCGGGTGCCACGAAGGAAGCGTGATACCAGTGGGTGTCTCCCCAGAGAAACTCCATTTAAAGGGACATGGCATGACGCTTCGCCCCCGAAAGCGAACCTCAGGAACTTCCTGTGTTGTGGAAGGATGGAGATGTGGAAATAGGCGTCCTTCAGATCTATCGTGACAAACCAGTCCTCGGACCTGATCTGTGATACGATCTGTTTGAGAGTGAGCATTTTGAAGCTGAGTCTCCCTACCGTCTGATTCAACAGACGCAGGTCTAGAATAGGACGCAACCCCCCATCCTTCTTGGGAACAACGAAGTACCGGCTGTACCAGCCCGACTCCCTGCTGAGAGGAAGAACTCGTTCTATAGCCCCTTTTAGCAGGAGAGTCTGTACCTCCTGCTCCAATACCAGAGCCTGCTCTGGGCCTACCACTGTGGGCAGGACCCCATTGAAACGAGGCGGATGCGTCCTGAATTGGATGGCATACCCGCTCTCGATTATCCGCAGGACCCATTGAGATATATTCGGCAGGGTCTTCCACTCCGCCAGAAAATCTACTAGAGGCACCAGCCTCTCGAGGCTGGCCTCTGGAATAACAGGTACTGCAGACACAGTGCCCTGTAACAGCGCACTGGCAGGGAACAACTGGTTCGACAGTTCTGGGCCCCTCCTCGGAGGGGGCGAGCGCCCCTCGGGAAAACGCTCGCCTGGGCCACCTGAGCCCCTGCCCAGCTGAGGGCACCAGGAGAAGCTCACTACTCCCCTGGTGGGGACCACCCCCAGCAGTCCAACCCCCCTGTCAGGGTCTCTTGGACAAAGCCTTCTTGGGCGTAGCGACAGCCCTCGGAACTGTCCTACCCCTCGAAGGCCCCGTCTGCGAGCGTCGCCTCCCGGCCCACTCATCGTGTGGGGGAGCCCGAGTAGCGACACTCACTCTCTGCTGCGCCCGGTGTGCCGTGCTCGGCGCCGGGCGGGGCTGCCCCCGACCGACAGCCCCTGCGACGCGACTACGACGGGGGAGAAATTTTTGGAAGGCAGCCGCCTGCCTTCTTTCCTCCTGAAACCTGTCGACGACCGAGCCAATAGGAGGTCCAAAGAGGCCCTCGGGTGAAAGAGGCGCCACCAAAAGGAAGGCTTTCTCCCTATCTCTCATATCAGAGAGGCTTAACCAGAGATGCCTCTCCATAGCCACCAAGGCTGCCATAGACCGGCCCACTGATTTGGCCGTCTCCTTAGTGGCATGAAGAGACAAATCTGCCGCCTGACAAAGTTCTCGAACAACGTCAGGACTTAAACTCTCCCCCTGAGCCCCGTCGCTAAGTAGCTCTGCCTGATATGCCTGTAGAATAGACATAGAATGCAGGCAGGAAGCCGCCTGACCCGCCGCCGAATAAGCTTTGCCCACCAGCTTTGAAGTAGTCTTCAACGCCTTGGAGGGCAATGCCGGTGTCCTAAGAGACGATGCCGCGGGAGATAAATGGCTAGCCAGTATCTCCTCCGCAACCGGCATCGCTCCGTACCCGTGAACATTAGCCTCGGCAACATTCGAATACATGTTAGTCCGCGGATTAAATACCCGGAACGACATCGGCCTTTTCCAGGACCTCGACGGCTCAGCGTGGAGGTCCGGGAAGAAAGGCAAACACCGGCGAGGAGGTAAAGCACGGGAAGGCAAGAATCGTTCATTCAACTTACTGGTTGAAGCAGACTCCTGCCTGTCAGCCGGCCACTCAATGTTGAGCTTTCCCACAGCTCGGGTAAGTACCTCCAGCAGCTCCTCGTTCGCGGGTGACTGAATCAACAATTCAGCCTCCGCCTCGAGGTTCTCAACCTCCATTTCCTCAGAACTGGACGGCTGAGAAAAGGGTGCCTCATCCAGGGCGGAAGAAACCCCCGCGGACCTGAGCCGCGGGGAACGCGAACCGAGCCGCTTTCCAGAAAAAGCGCCAGGCGAGAGCGCAGTGTACGGATGGCGAGACGGCCGCAATGCTTACAGCTAGCCTCATCCAAGGCTAATGGCGCTTTTCCACTGCACAGAACCAGCTCGCCTCAGCTTGACTTGACTCTGCTTTTTTGGTTTTCCACTGGGTAAAAGTTGTATCTGTACCTGCTTCCAGGTACTTTTTTTCGTACCACCTCAGGCGAGGTTCTGAGCGAGCTGAGGCGATACTAAAATGTGACGTGAAAACACAGCAGACTGCTGATTGGTCAGAGAATCGTCATTATTCACTGCATCATCATTGCACGCGCCAGATGTAGTATCCTGAGTAATCCCACCACTTTTAAATAGTTTGTCCAGAGATTGCGTGAGAGCTGTACATATTATCCATTACGAATACTATGGCAAACCGAAAGAATGCGCCGTGAGAAACAGCCACATCTCGCGGATCAAACACAGCATACACTCGATTTCTTCCATTGTCTTATATGTGTGTGTGGGTAGCGAGTGTTGGTAGGAGGACGCGGACCCGAATGAAACACGCTTCTCTTGCCCGGTAGATTATACAAGTAGAAAATTCTAACACGGCGCATGTAGTACGTCCGGACTCCATTCATACTACCCGGATTCATACTATATAGAACGTACTTTTTTAACGGTCGCAAAGTACGTTCTTATTTAAATGTAGTACATACTCAACATAGTACGCGATTTCGGACGCAGACTGTGTGTCGCCGCGTCGCGTAGAAGATCACGTCACAGCATTTTCCTGCCGCGTCGCTATGACGACCGGGTACTATTGCGCAGGTACTATCCGCATTGGAAAACAGAGCGAAAGCGAGCCGAGTCGGGCCGAGTCGAGCTGGTTCTTTGTAGTGGAAAAGCTCTGCTCCCAAACAAACTACGCACAGAACATGTGTATCCCGGCCCGTGAGAAAGCGGTTGCAGGGAGGAGCACACTGTCTGAAACGCCACTCGGTTGCCATAATCGCGGTGAACTCTTATACATAAATGCAAAGACACTTTCTGATTAACAAAGTAATAGCAGAAAACCGCGAGGACTGTCACAACATGCACTTGCTGAAGCAACAAAAAACTGAAAGTGCCGGTAATTAGGGGTGCTATTATGATTTCCTGGTCGCGAAGTCACCCATCTGTGACGTTCCGTCACGCCATTGGACTGATTACACATGTGCTTCATGACACACTCACGCAGAGCGTTCCCATAGCGTTTTCACGCAGCTCGAAGTTCCCTGATAGGGAACTGAATACAAGAACTAATTGGCAAACCAACACTGGTGTGGTGAAAAACTCAGGTGCATAGAATAGCCCTTGATTAACTCCCTCTCTCCGCTGGCAGAGGAAGTGCCGACTCAGGCATAGAGAGGGATAGAGGCAGTTTCTTGCAATCTCAAGCGTCTCGTTGTTTTAATATCATTATAATACCTTATATAGTATAGAATAACTTCAATACTATTTACAACATTAATACACTTACATTTCATGCAGCAGGGAAGTCCGAGTTGTGTTGGGCAATATTTCTTACTTCAGAATATTAAATAAAATTCATAATATAAAAAAATCTGTTATGGACCACTATTTAGATATTTTTGTTTTAACATTTCAAGGACTTTTATTCAAAAATGTATAGGTCCATTCCAATTTCAACATTTTTATTTAACAGTGTCTTGGAGAATTACTTTTATCTTCTGAAGAAAAGAAAATGTTTTAGCTTTTTTTCACTGAAACCCTCATGAATGCACGGTGAATTTAATCCCTTGATTTACCATAATCTCTCTAGATTTACGATCAGTAATGATAAATCTTGCCTCTCGTGTTGGCATATGAGCAAAATCTTTTCTTTCCATTTCTCAACAACACACTTCAAAAACACTCTTGGGCCATGGTTGGAGGTGTTTGTTTAGCTCAGTGGTAGAGTGCATGCATGCTTTGTATGTATGATGTCCTAGGTTCAATCCCCAGCTGCTCCCCAGGTTGCCGTTGCAAATGAGAATAAGTTCTCAATTGGCCTATCTGGTTAAATAAAGGTTAAATAAAATAGGTTGCACCTATTGGTTGACGTTTAGTGTAATACATTTTTTGTCATATTGACTCTTTTATAGATATACTTTTGGATCCACAAGATGGCCCAGGACTACCCAGATATGATCAAAGTCCTCCTGATTGGCTCATCGTTTGAGAAAAACCCCCTTTATGTCCTCAAGGTACCTTTTAGGCTTTTTGTATTAATTAATGAGCATTCAAATTGAATTAATACGTCAGTCAGTGTAGTATAATGAGTCATTTATGTTAGCATAGTATTTTTGTGTTTGCTTTTTCAGTTGTCTGGACGACAAGAAAGAGCTGAAAAGAGAGCGATGTGGATTGATTGCGGGATACATGCTAGAGAATGGATCTCCCCAGCGTTCTGCCTGTGGTTTGTGCAATATGTCGGTACCATGTCAAAATTAATTTTCCTGAACCCATACTTACTCAAAGTTTCTTGTAAAAAAAGATATTTAATGTTATACTGTGATCTGCTATATTAACCTTAAATTAGGTAAGAAGAATGTTAAAATTTGAAACAGAGATGTCAGAAAACATCCTTTAAATAATTAATTTTGAAAGTGCACATACGAGGTCAAGGTGCAATTGAAAATGTGCATGACAGCTCTGTTAGAAAATCACCTCTATTGTAAACAAATCTGTTAACCTGTTTAATCTTCTCTGTGCTCTCTCGTCAGTCTGTGAGTTTTTATACTCAAAATAATGAAATTAAGGAGATACTCGACAGTATGGATATCTATGTGCTACCTGTCATGAATCCTGATGGATATCAGTACACATGGACGACGGTAAGGAATGTGCCTTTATTTGTATCCTAGCCAAAATAATCTGTAATTAATACAGAACCTTCAGATAGTATTCAGACCCTGTCATTTTCTACACATTTTTTTGTGTTTTTTTAACTTTCAAATAATAACACTTTGGCACACATTTCTAAGAACTGTTTTCACAATTTCACTAAGGGGTGTTGTGTATATATTGATGGGAAAAATAATGTAATAATTTATAAATGAATTCCATAACACAACAAAATGTGGTGGTGAAGGGGTTTGAATACACACATTCACAGAGAAGACTGATGTACATAATACAAAAACATTACATAGTTGCAGTGTAAACTTAAAAAAAAACTTGCAGAGATTAACATTTTAGTCAGTTTATGAGAAACAGGTATGCCGTAATGTTGATCACGTTTCGATCCAAAAACGATATTTAGAATTTAATCTATGACGTAAAATACATTTATCTCAAAGTTCGATAAAAATCATTTTCATCAATTCTATACTGTGTCTGCTTCTTTTATTTGACTAGAACCGAATGTGGAGAAAGAATCGATCAGTAAGACAGGATAGTAACTGTATTGGAACTGACCTCAATAGAAACTTCGATGCAAACTGGTGCAGTAAGTCTGACATTCCTTTCTGTTCACTCCACCGGTGCCATAGACAGAAATGAACTTTTGTTTACTTATTTACTTACACGACACAGTAAAAGTGTTTAACTGGCAGCTCAGTTCTGCATTTTATTTTCCTACTAATTGTTTTTTTGAAAAAAAAATTGGCTCAATCTTTTTTGCAATCGATCTACACACAATTTCTCATAATGACTGTGACAGGCTGACAGCACGTTTAAAAAAAGTACCTTAGAAGTTAATGGGAAAAAAAACTACATTTACAGTGGGTATCAAAAGTGTCTTGTAACAGGGTTACTGTGTGTAAATATAGCCAGAGTAATTTAGATAATGTGTTTTCATTTCAGGATGTAAGGCGATAGAAAAACATTTCCATGACACTTGAGCTCAGATGCATCTTGTTTCATTTGATTTTCCTTGAGATATTGCTAGAACCTGATTTGAGTCCACCTGTGGCAAATTACATTTATTGGACATTGGGCTAAATACACTAACAAGCCATGACATTCTGACCTAATATACTGTTGGTCTTCGGCATCCCGCCAAAAAAGCGCACATCCGCCGAGGCATGGACTCTGGACGACCCATGCAAGTGTCCTATGGTATCTAACACATTGAGCTGGTGAGTCGTTCAGAGACATATATGGACAGATGATTTCCCAAAATGGTTACTACAATTAGTCACCATGTAAAGGGGGAGTGAAAAAATTGCACTTTCTTTCAACATGCAGCAGGATAGACAGCAAGGAATAGGAAGAGGTCGTGGACAAAGTGATCAGGGAGGTGATGGGAACAGTCATAGGTGGGCATGGGCACCAACAGAGGGGTTGGAGAGGTGGGCATGGGCACCAACAGAGGAGGGCATGGGCACCAACAGAGGAGGGCATGGGTACCAACAGAGGGGTTGGAGAGGTGGGTATGGGCACCAACAGAGGAGGGCATGGGTACCAACAGAGGGGTTGGAGAGGTGGGTATGGGCACCAACAGAGAAGGAAATGGGTACCAACAGAGGGGTTGGAGAGGTGGGTATGGGCACCAACAGAGGGGTTGGAGAGGAGGGCATGGGTACCAACAGAGGGGTTGGAGAGATGGGCATGGGCACCAACAGAGGAGGGCATGGGTACCAACAGAGGGGTTAGAAAGGTGGGTATGGGCACCAACAGAGGAGGACATGGGCACCAACAGAGGGGTTGGAGAGGTGGGTATGGGCACCAACAGAGGAGGGCATGGATACCAACAGAGGGGTTGGAGAGGTGGGTATGGGCACCAACAGAGGGGTTGGAGAGGTGGGCATGGGCACCAACAAAGGGGTTGGAGAGGTGGATATGGGCACCAACAGAGGTAGGCATGGGGCTTGTCAAAACGTTTATCATCAAAGAGAGTGAGCAAGAACTGTTGTCTCTAATGAAGCCATCATCGTTGATCATGTGGTGAACCGAAGCCTTACCATGGCAGAGACTCCACATCTATCACACCTGTCCGCGACATCAGGATATATCTCAAAGAGCCTCGCCTTAGAAAATTGAACTCTGTGCAGCACCTTAAATTGGATGAGGCCGAGCCGGGCACATGGCGTAGTAGAACGTATCCTGTCGGTGGCCTTGTCCCACCACTCCTGAGTAAACTCCACCCCCATATCACGTTCCCAGGCCAGCTTGGCCTTACAGGTGGAGCGTACCTCAAAGGACACGAGTAAGGAGTAAATATGCGATGTCAGCCCCGTCTCGAGAGGTGTAAGGGACAGTATGGCATCTCAGGGTTGAGCGGGGGGAGCGGAGGGAAAGCCAGGAAAAAGGGATGAGACACAGTGCCGCACCTGAAGGTAGCGGAAGAAGTGCGATGCAGGCAATGAGTGCTTAGCGACCAGGTCGGTGAAACTTAAGAAGCCCTCTGTTTCTGGGCTTTCTTGTGCATCATCTTTAGAAGAGGCTTCCTTCTGGGACGACAGCCATGCAGGCCAATTTGATGCAGTGTGCGGTGTATGGACTGAGCACTGACAGGGTGACCCCCCCCCCAACCCTTCAACCTCTGCAGCAATGCTGGCAGCACACATAAGTCTATTTTCCAAAGACAACAACTGGATAAGACACCGAACAAGTTCCCTCAACTTCTTTGGTCGATCATGGCGAGGCCTGTTCTGAGTGGAACCTGTCCTGAAAAACGCTGTATGGTCTTGGGCACCGTGCTGCAGCTCAGTTTCAGGGTCTCTGCGATCTTTTCATAACCTAGGCCATCTTTATTTAGAGCAACAATTATTTTTTTCAGATCCTCAGAGAGTTCTTTGCCATGAGGTGCCATGTTCAACTTCCAGTGACCAGTATAAGAGCGATAACACCAAATTTAACACACCTGCTCCCCATTCACACCTGCGAGCTTGTAACACTAACGAGCCACATGACACCTGGGAGGGAAAATGGCTCAACAGGCCTAGGTCTACAGCTGTGCAGTTATACTGTTCAAACAGTCAACTCGCAGCCTACATCTTCAAATAAAAATCAAATGGGCCATAACATGTGTCTTATTCCATTCCCTTTGCAGCAAAGGGTGCCTCCCCCAGGCCCTGTGAGGAGATATATTGCGGCCAGTACCCCGAGTCGGAGCCTGAGGCGGTGGTTGTGGCTAACTTCCTGCGCAGCCACAAAGACGTACTTAAGCTGTACCTCTCCATACATTCCTACGGTCAGATGCTTCTCTTCCCATATGCCTGCTCTAATGAACATGTGCCCAACCATGCTGACCTGGTGAGTCATTCAGAGAGATATATTGACAGATGAAACCTTAATATAAAATATGTTTGCTCTAGATTTGTGGAGGGCAGACTTTTCTGCGCAGGGGCCACATCAGGACTTTGTAATTAAATGGAGTGCCACATTTGTTTTTGTTATTTGTTAATTATAAATGATTTGTGGGCAATAATGAAATATAAAATTAATACTGTAAGGCTGTTATTATATCAAAATAATTTAATTTCAGATTTAAATACATAACAATTGGTTTGGCAAGTTATTTTGTAGTTCCCCTTAAAACTAATGTAATACTTACCACAGGTTGGATGGAATTAATCCTGCAGGCCCAAGGACATAACAATTTGTCATTGATTTGAAAATTTGTATACGCAATTATAAGGGAATGCTTTCCCCTCAATTATCGATTTGCATTTGAGTACATATGTGTACATAAACATTTGAGTACATATGCACCCCCAAAAAGAATGTTGCTAAAACAACGACAGTTGGAGCTAACGGGGTGTTCTGGGAGGACCACGGGGAGGACACCCATGAGCTTGGTGCCACAACAACCGCCACCCACTTCTCCAGGGCTGCAGCCAGGGGGAGACAAAGCCCTGGAGCTGAAGCCACAACAACAGCTTCAGCTGTGCCACGACCCCTTCCAGCCACCAACATCAAGGACAGAGAGGTCCCCAGAGTGGCTAATCAACTAGCCGCCGCAGGTAGTTGGGAGGTGGTGGAGGCCATGGCTGGAGCTGCCTGCATCCTCCGCCTGCAGCGGTTT